GAACTCTACCCAAACCTCGGATAGCAATGTCTCAGCGCGCGTTACCGTGCGCACGCTCTGCATCGTCCACAATAGCTCCTCTAGATTTGTGGATATCCAGGCTTTGTCTATACAACATATAGCGTCTTGTCTGTACTTCAAACGAGAGCCAAAGCGGCACCTGAACTGCATTCTGTGCATATCGAAACATACGCAGCCTGCCGGTGTTAGTGCTCACACAGGAGACTCGATCCGACACTTGTAGGGAAGTAATATCCTGGCAGCGGGGGGATGGTTCGCGGAATAGGAGAGAGGGCGGCAGGGATTCGATTGATGAGGCTTAGCCGGCAGTGAGCATTGCACCGCCGGAACAGCTCCGCACCACGTTCGATCGAAAGGTCAATGGCGATCGAATCCGGAAAGCGGGGGGCGGGGGGTGGGGGGTGGTGCGGTGTCCAAATGCGTACGCATTCGATTTGTCCTCCGTTTGCGTTCTCCCCAGCCGCCTGCACAGGTCCGAGCCGTGCACCGTCCCTCAAATGCTTAGGGCACAAGGTCCTGCCGCTCCGTGCCAATCCTCTCAGCAGCCAGCCTGTTCGGGTGGTAACACTGGATCGGTGCTACGAGCCTGCCCTAGTTGGGATCGCAGCGATTGCCTTCGACGTTCGTGCGGCCAGAACCCGTTGGCACTGGGCCTTTGCAGGCAGTAAATACGACGTGCGTGGGAGCGGGAACGCGGCCATTATCAGATGCAGCCTCATCAGTGAGTCTTCTCCACTACAAGCACGCGCGCACGCACGCGACAGTCAAAGACCGCCATCCGCCCGTCGTCGAGTATGAAGCCGCCAAACAGGCTCCAACACCCTTTTCCCGCCACCTGTCTCCCTGCATTGCCGCCCACCCTGCCCGCTAGATGCGGCGAGTCCCCCGCGTCCATCCTATTGAGGCACACCCACTACCCATCAAAATTCACTCCTCGCCACGCCGGTACGTCCGCCGCTTCCTCTTCTTCAACACCGTGCGCTATGTCTTTGTGTGCACCTGCCTTGCCATATAGGTGTGAGTCCTTACCACTGCGCCCCCATTCTGTCTCTCCATTGAACAGCATTGTTCAGTTAGGCCTTAAAGCTGCGTAGAGAGGCGCGTAGAGAGGCCGCTTAGAGAAGAATCGCACTGTGACCATCCTACTACTAGTAGTACGCGTCATCGCTTAAATTCGACTGCGTACATATTTCAGTTTTCTACGGCCGAACTGAACAAGACTAATGATACGCTTAGCAGAGACGGGACGGCGAGGAACGCGCTCTACGCAGCTCCGCGCGCACGTTGCCTCGGAGTCCACAGGCCGCCGCCGTCATCCGCACATCCAACATTCTCGTCGCTGGGCGGATGACACGATGGTTATCATACTGGCAAGGTTCGCAAGCCTGCATCCATCTCCCCAGGCGTCTTCGCGGAGCGCACGCGAGCCTCCTTTGCGCAACGCCGCACCCAGTTCCTCGCCCATCTGCTACCTAGCCCGGGCCGTCCTGTCTAGCAACCATCTGCCATTGCGCGGATGCCCCAAGCGTGTGCGTCACCATTCTGCGAGTAATTGACCATACTCTTCCAGCAAGTCGGTCAGGACGGCACAGGCTCTGGAAATTGGCCACAACGGGAAAATCTCGTTTGCCTCATGCTTGATGCTCGTGGGTGTATAAAAACAGCAGGGGAGCCCTCAGGTCCTGTAGAGAAGCGGGCGCGGCACTGGGGAGGGACACCTGTGCCACGGGCTCTTCCATGTCTGTCGAGGCATTGACGCGAAGCGAGCATGTTCACCTGCGTCCCTGGTATGATGCTTCTAACAGAGTACGCATATCGCCGCACTTGGAAGGGCATGATTACGCCGCTGTTGCACAACGCTCCATAGTGTCAAGACTTTGATTCGAAGCCGCCGGGCGTAATCCAAAACGCATGCGCACGCAGTGGAAAAGATGCAAGTGGATTATATGCGTCTGTCGGTCCCGGCTATTGACGAAGCAGACGACTAACCTCCGTGCACCATGTCCTGTGATTCTGGATATTACACCTCCTGTCCTGCCCCATGTGTGTCGCTGCTCCGACAGACCGTCCTTAACATTCCCCACATTCCTGCGTCACCCCTAGACATCCTTTCCAGTTGCTTGTCTCTCCACGTCAGAGTCCCTCTTCTTGAACACTTGCGAGGGCGGCTGCGCAGGAGAGTTGCATCGTAGCGGAGATCGCATGCTGGACACGGTGTTTTGTGCGAAGAGGACGAAACATGCTGTTTATGAAATGCGGGGTGAATGTGCAATGAGTCTTCGTCATGATCTCGCATGCCTGCGCAACTGGCTCCGCGCCCTTTCCTCCATTGTCCGTCTCTCTGCGTCATCGCCTGCACCGTCCTGCCTGCCAGAGGCCCCGCGTACCCTATACCATTCTCTCCGCGGCGCGCTCCGTCACACTGGCACATTCTGCATCCACCGCATCCCCTTTCTCGTTAAAACCGTGTGGAACCGTCTGACCGATCGTCGTCGGCGCAAATGCGTTCATTCGTCCTCACGGAAAACACGTGACAGAGTCTGCGCTAGCCTGTGGATGTCATCATCGACGTTTCCCGCTATTCTGCCAGGGTTTTTACTCTGTCTAGATACATTATATCCGATTGTGCGCACCGGATCGTCCCCGGGGATATCGCCTGATTGCGCGACCTTCCTCTCGCTCCCCTTCGGAGGCTCGCGCGGCCGCGCAGCGCATTTGAACTGTGCTCATGCGTGCAACGGAGCACAGGAAATAGGAAAGGGGAAAGGGGCCGTCGTAGTCGTTAGATACGAGGTGTGAGTACCATCCGGCATTTCTTTCATGCGCTCATCCGCTGTCTATCTCGACTCTCCCCCCACTTGTATGACCACTTTTACTGAGAGTCAACGAGAGTGTCGACATGCACAGCGCGTGCAGTAATTAGCTGTGGGGTGTAAAGGTCTGCACAGAGTGGGATGTGAGATATTAAAGCCCACAAATGAAAGATTAGAGGCGTAGTGCCCAGCGTGCAAATATGATTTTTGAGATACGCCAGTGGAATGCAGGGAACACTGCTCAACAATCTTCAACCTCGTGGTGAACAGGCTCAACCTGCTGGAGAGCCATTCGGAAGACGCTGGGCATCGGTAGTTGCCGGCACGGCATCTATCTTAGATCGTTCGCCTTGCGTCCCATCCGGTCCCCTCGCCCGCCCAAACTTCATTTCAATCTAATCCAATCCTGTCTCTTGTATGCACCAGAGCGCGTCCGTGACTCCACGTCCTAGCTCCATCAAACCTAAGCATTTCCCGTTTGTCTTTCTAGCGTTATCCCGTCTCTGCCTGCCCTCCTCTCCATCTCGATCGACGTCCTGCCTCTGTGCCTGTTCATTGAATCTTTGAAAGGGCGCCAATCTGTACACGCAAAGTGCAGTACTTTCCAACTCAAGCGATGTTGTCGCTCTTCAGCTACTCGTCATCTTGAGCTTAGTTGAACGGGGGTAGCCTGTGATGAGCCGGTATCGAGATAT